CCGCGGACCAGCAAAAAACGTCTGTGTGACCAGCGCAGGTCCGCGGACCATGGGTTGGGGAACACTGCTCTAATGCATATGAAGTCTTCTGTATGTAAGATTTTTATATAGGTCCATATTTTTTAAAACCAAAACCTGGCCTTTGGTTAATTTTGGCTTGATGAATAAATGATTGATGGTTGACTTCATTCCCACAAACAGAAAAGATTAGAAAGAAAAGACTGAGTTTAACATAACAGCAAAAAGAAAGTTCTGTACAGCAGATGTGACTATTTCCCCAAATCGCAGACTTGGATACTTTCACTCTCTGAAGTACAGCAGTACATAGCATTGCATGTTTTGTACCTTTTGCTTATCAATGTATGTATCAAAAAACTATCTGTCTTAGTTGTGAATTTCGAATAATGATTTATTGTTTGGTCAACTGTAAATGCAAGTGAAATTAATTCTGAACTGTGGAAATAAAATTGTTCACGGACTTGTGAACGTCTATTCAGACGGTATTCTGGGTCTTACGCTGACGTGCTGAGTCTCCCGACCGAACGTTCAGAAATGGTCTTACCGCCCCGTTGGATGCGACGTGGCCTTACTTCCAGCAATTGTGGATTAACTCATGCGTGTCGGGTTGGACGTAATTTTGTGAAGTGTATCGTGTGTACTTAATTTTGATTTCTGTGAAAACTGGTCTATCCTTGGACCTATCTTCATTATCTTGTTGATTTTGGTGACTTTCCTATTTTCCGGACAGCGGTGAAACTTCTGAAGTGTAAAGAATTCAAGTTGCTTTTTCCTGAACCGCGCACAAACATGGGTTTTTCCGCGATCGACTATGAGGGAGAATTATTCTCCTGTTTCGCATTTCATGCTGCTCTCGTCATCCTGAAAGTTCTGCTAATGGTTCCACTGACTGCTAGACAGCGCTTCGCCAAAGCGGTGTTTTCCAACGCCGAGGATGCCAGGGTGCATCCGAAAGGGAAGGTCAGTCTCGTGGATCCCGACGTTGAACGTGTTCGTCGGGCACATCTGAACGATCTGGAGAATATACCCTTCTTCGTGCTCATCGGTTGGTTTTACCTGATGACGAATCCTAGCCTGGTGATCGCCAAGAATATGTTCCGTCTGTTCACGGTTTGTCGGTACCTTCATACTTTCGTTTACGCGGTCGTCCCATTGCCTCAGCCGGCACGTGGAATTGCATTCTTCGGCGCTTTTCTTGTCATTGTGGTGATGACTGTTAGCGTGCTGCTCGCAGCTTTTTAAAAATATTGATGTTCGTACGTAGTTGCATTTGTGAATTGTCTACTACTTCAAATTTATGGATGGTGTGTTTTGAAGCATTCCTTCGGTCGGGTTAATTGGTGCATTTTTAGAAGCTTTCATGGTCGACAATTTTCCGGAGAGGTACTTGTGAAACTTGAGGGCTTTGTTTAAATATGGTGATTATCGTTAACGTTCGGCCATCTACGAAATTTCCATGTGTTTATAGCTTTGTATTCTGCGGCAGGGTTGCTGAACAGGTTGAACTAAACGCGTTACGATGCGAGCAAATGTTTTTGTGGTCACGTCGGCTGATTGGATCGAAAATATTATTTTCTCGGGAACCAGAAGTCGTTCGTTCGATTTCGGGAATGAGGATTTTTCATCGCCATATTTGAACGAGTTTATGGCGCTCATATACATATTTTTTGCCTTGTAAATTTAAAATTTGGCTGTAAATGTAAGACGCACCTATATCATGTTAAATTAATTCGGGAAAAGTTGTCGTTCTACTCATGCTGCAGTCACCAGCTTTATCTTTTCCCACTCTTCCAATGTAAGTCGAGGTTTAATTTTCATTTATTCGAACTGAACATACAAAAACCGTAAAATGCCATCAGGATCCCGATTTTTCGAGCCATTTCTCTTGAATGAGCGTCTTGAATTCGATTCAGAACTGGTATTCCTTTTTTGCTGCGTTGTCTATGTTCTCAAAAAAATTATCTTTGAATTGGAAGGAAATATCGACGTTGGTTAGAGTGTCATAAGGCCTCCTCAGTGAACATCCGAAAATGCCAGATATTGTGGAGGAGGTCGCGGAATCCGTGAAGGAAGTGATCGAGCAGATGACCGATGCCAGCACCAACACCACGGGGAAGCCTCAAGCAACAGCTGAAGGCATGGCTTTAGCTTATGGAAGCCTCGTGTTGATGGCGCTCATTCCGATTTATTTTGGATCGTTCAGGTCTGTTACCCGACATGCTGAACAAAAGGTGAGTTCAGTCATCTTCGCAAATTTTTCTCTCTGTAAACGTTGCTAATCGTCTTCTTCTTGTTGAAGGAATCTGGAGAGAAAACGGAAAAAATCATGACCAAGGATGCTGCAATGTTCCCAATTTTCGCCAGTTGTGCGCTGTTCATCCTTTATCTAGTTTTCAGGGTGAGTGAGGTTTTCTTATCTCATTATGAGACGCTATCGTTAATTCGCTTGTTTCGCCTTTCAGATATTTTCCAAGGAATACATCAACATTCTCTTATCGGTGTATTTCTTCGGCATCGGAGTTGCCGCGTTTGTTCGGATGATGCGGTAATTTTCTGATCTGTAAAAGGTGTTGATATTCGTCTACAGTTCTTGTTTTTGTTTTTTTCTCCTAGCCCAATTATGATTGATCGACTGCCTCCATGGATACCAGTGTACTTCTACGATGCCAAAGTTACGCAAGTCGCAAAGGGAACCACTATTAGGGAAACGGTGCTCGATTGTACTTTCAGTACGGCAGATTTCGTCTCTCTCGTCCTATCGACAATATTCGGCGTGTGGTACCTGTGGCAGAAGGTATTTATGCTTTGGACTTCGATGAGAAAAAGTTTGGATTCTTATCGTTTTTCTCCTAAAATGTGATCTATTTTTTAAATAAAACCTGGCACAATTTCCATCATCTTTCTTTGACAAAAAACCTACAAGTAAAATAATTTTTCCTTGGATAGCCATGGCATTTTATTTAGAAATTTCAAAGCAAGTTTTTTCGGGATTTTCCAGTCCTTGAAGACTAAAACGCAATTGATGGATTTTTAGATATTCGAGGTTTCACTGAAGCTCATCACGTAACTCAATTTAAAATACTGCAGAACAGTCAACGAGAAATGTTCTTGATTTTTGCGAAATTAATGAAATCAGATCAGGGTTACTTGTGCCGCGTTTTACATAAATTATTCTCAAGAGTTGAAATTTTCGCTTATATTGGTGGCGATTGAATGGATCATCCAGTCGATTCATTTTACTGTGTAATTTCTTTCCATATGTAGCATTGGGTTGCCAACAACATATTCGGTCTTGCATTTGCTTTAACCGGAGTTGAAATACTTCACCTCAACAAAGTGAAAACCGGCGTTATTTTGCTTGGTGGGCTGTTCGTCTATGACATTTTTTGGGTGTTCGGCACGAACGTCATGGTGACAGTAGCGAAGTCCTTCGAAGCCCCGATCAAGGGTGAGTTGAAATTTGATTCATTTATCATCCCATCAGACGC